CCAGGGCGACGTGGCCGCGATTAATGACGAAGTGCGAAAGCACCAGTCAGGCTGGGTATTAACGGAGGCGAAATGACAGAAAACGGAACGCGAAGAGATTGGGCGAGGGGGATAATGGCACGGCGAGAACGAGAGAATGGGGAGTGAAGAAGGAAGACAGAAGAACACGCAGCAAGCGAATATAGATTCAATAAATAGATCGTCCGGTGAGATAAATGTCCTAATAACTAGCTTAGGCTCGCACACCCAATCCGCGCGGGATACGTTTGCAACGGGACGATCATTAGCCTACGACCGGAGTGTGTAAATTCGAGACGCCGTCTCGGTTCAATTCACTCTACTCGTGCTCGCACGACGCACAAACACCTGTCACGAACACCGGATCGGTGCACACACGCGCCGTGTAACGCGTGTTGTGTAACGACACGCCGGCCGACCCACCGTGAGACCGTCGTGGACGCGTTTCACGCTCGCCTTCTCTGCTATTGTAGCTTCTTTCTCGCGTCGGCAGCTCTCGATCAAACCGCCGACGACACGCTGTGGTCCATTAATCTCTCATCGATGGCACTGACACTGATCGTACCTACGAGCTATTCAACGCCTCTCGCAACACGTGTATCAATCTTCAGCAAGTTATCGTATATTGTCCGGTCCAATTCTTTTAAATAAATTTACCGATTCGTTCGGGGGGCGTGAAGAAATCGATAGAGTATCGAACATTTCAAGTGCTTTCAAAGTACATGTTCGCAATTTCATTTCTACGTTATTCGATCCTCTCGTAGCACGTGTATCAATCTTGAACGAGTTATTGTATTGTCCGGTCCAATTCTTTCGATTAAACCCGTTGATTCGTTCAAGGCGTGAAGAAATTGATAGAGTATCGAGCATTTGAAGCTTTCAAAGTATATTTCGCAATTTCGTTGTAAAAATTTTTACGTTATTTAACCTTCCGCTGGCAAAGTTGAACTTTAAAAACAATAGATATTTGTGAGTTCTGATAGATAAATTTAAATCTGTAAAAAAGTAAGTAAAATACAATCCGAATTTTTTTATGCTAAAAACTCATTGTTAAAGCTTTACAAACATATAAGATTTTTTTTATTTTCATACGATTCGCGGAACGATATAACAATTTCATATTGTCGACAAAAAATTAAATATGATGAAATTTTTTTAAAAAATGAAGAAATTGAACTAAGGTAAAATATTTAAACATGCATAAATTGTGTGATCAGTAGTATTATTTATTCACATTAAATATGTAGCAAAAAGTATACTCGCGCGGAACGTTTCAAACTTAACTTAATCTTTTTCAGCCGTGAAAAATTATAAAGTTAGATCATAATTAAGTACGGTATATAATTGAATACAAAAAAAAAAGGAAAAGGTGCTAAGTAATTGCTAGATATACGATCCTTTTGAATTCTTTGAGTCAATTAGATAATTTTTTCCTTTTATTACATTTGATTATATACTTATTTATGATCTAACTTTGTAATTTGTTACGGTTGAAGAGGACCAAATTAAGTTTGAAATGTTTCAAGGATATCCGTGAGTACTTATATTGCTACTTTTAATGTGAATAAAATTATGTTGCTACATATTCTCTCAATGTATGCTCGTTCAAATTTTTGATCTTCGTTTATATAATTTCTTCATTTTTTGTATGTTGCGAGCAAACATTTAATTATATTTTTAATACTATTTTTTTAAGAAAATAAATAATCGTCCTGTCGCTATAAACTGAAAGTAACATAACATCATTGTCATAATTTTGCACTCAACAATATAAATATAACTTAACATGTAGTATTATATAACAATTACATTGTTGAATACAAAATTGTGACGTTGATGTTATTATTTTAGTGTCAACAGCGACGTCATGAATCAAATTTAATTCATTATTTTGAATGAACAACTAAGAATAAGTCGACACTTTAAATCATCGAGTTAACATTCATTAACGTAAATTTGATTAGTGAAATCGTTACAGTCGATCCTTCCGTGGCTTGCGGCAACCAGCGGCAACGATAATAGGTCCATTTCGCTCAGGAATCGCGAGTGGGTATTTCGAGAGCTATCACGAGCTGTCAACGAACGACTCTCACGACTCATGCGGTGGAAACGGCTTCAAGTGACGAGCGAATACCGGGACGTGCGAGCGATAACTCTGTCTACTTTTCTACGCGAGCAGAACGGCGATGTGATACACTAAGCGTTCGTTATTTACGACGTGTTCGTCTAATTAGATAATAACGTCGATATTTTATATTCGTGCGTTCACCCGAAGCACGAATTGCTCGCAACACGGCTGCAACTGCGACCTTCGCCGCCACGCCGCAAATCGTTACGACCGTAACACGCGGCTCGCGGTAAATCGACGCGGATGAGTGCAGCAGCGAGAATGCGTGTTAATAACACGTGCTCGCGCGTAATCAAGTTAGAGGATCGCGGGAAATTAGAGCCGAGTATGTGCTCGCCGCCGCCGTCTCGGGGCGACGAAGCCCCGATTCAGACCGATTGCTGTTACTCTAAATGCTACGCAGTAATCGAAATACTAAATGATCAATTAATCAATAGAGAAGCAAAAAGGATGTGCGAGCCTCGACACATTGAATATCGCTTTAGTGTTTTATATGACGTCGCACGCGTCGTATATTTCTCGCGAAATTGAATACCTGGCGGGCGAGCGGCTCTTGACGAGTTGCGCAATCGAGGAATAACGATCGTTCGGAGATTTACTGCAAGGAAAAATCACCTCGGGCCACGGCGGAACGGAGAATTATCTATCATTCGGGTTAAATGTTACGTCCGGTGATGTCTCGCGGCCGCGGCTTCGACTTATTTCCCAAGAGAGGAGGCAGTGGGCTTTTATGTCGATGATCGCTCGTGGACGCCGTATCATTACTCTTCATACGGGACCCCGGCGACGTCCGACAGCGAAAGCTCCGTTATGGAGTAACGTCTATCCCGCTTAACTCGCGAGATCGACGAGCCTATCGTGCCTCGTGCAGATTCGAGTCTAACAATAACATCCGTAACTGTCTATTGTCATATATAGTGGCAAATGAATCGAACGCAGTAAGATAGCACTATAATGCAGTAATTTTCAGATGACAGAATTATGTACAAATATCATTAACTTCCCGAGTAACATTTGCAATAAATGAACATTAATAATTTATGAAATTTTCACAAGTTATATTTACTTTTTTCAAAAAATGTATATTAACAATTTATAAAGGTATAATTCTACTGGATATTTCCTAACATTTTACGGAATATTTAATGATTTATTTGAATCTACAAATTTCAAAATTTTTTTAATCGGAATTTTAGAATTCTCTTTGACGATAAAAATAAGTTCAGCGCTCCTTAATAAGATTTTTTTTAAAGATTCTTTGTTAAAAAGTTTTTGTCCTAAAAAAATAATAATACATAGATTTTTTTCATTCTAATTTAATATCTCACAGTATCTTAACCGTATTTTGAGTATAATCTCTATTTTAACAAGCCTTTACAATTTTTCAATCCATTAACTCATAATTTTACATAATTCAATAATTCATAATTTTTTTTGTTTTGTATGGGAATTACTCTTTGTTATATATGAAGATAATTTATATTGACGTGAGGTTAATAATAACAAATGACGTATTTAATATGAAAGTACGAGCCAAGTAGATTCAGCATGCCTGCCAGGGTCTATGTTGTTTCGCAGACTCGAGTCACAGGAATCTCGCGTTGCCTTGTCGTACGTTGCGTGTGCGTTTGCATGACAGATACTCCGAAATACGCTTCCGCGCGGGCGTGGGCGACGACGGTGTAATCCTACCGCGTAGTCGCCCGTTAAAGTCACGTTTTTCAGGTAGATGATAAGGCCGACTAGGTGTACAGTTAGACGTGACGCAATTGCAACGGCAGTCGGGTTGGAGCCCAATTACCAGCTTCTTCCGGTTCGTAGCGCGTACCATCGTGTTTGTGGTGTCATCGTGGATTATAGACGCGCCGTGGTGGATTACAGACACGCGAGAAAAATCGGGAAATTATTCGACGGTCGATCGCGGAAGCGAGGCCGTCTCTCGTTGCGGGTCGATCTCTCTCCTTGTCTCCGTCGTCAGCCTAATCCGCGACAATCGCATAAATACGGCGCAAGCGGAACAGGAATCTCGTAACGCCCTATGACTCTCCGTGTGTCTCATACACGGTGGTCATCCTGATTAATGTCGCATGAGCCTTATCTCTTTTCGGAATAACGGGGATGATACGACCGTTCGCGATCGCGCGATCGCCTAGATATATCATCGTATACTTTCTATTTGCGCGTATAATGTTAAGACTTGGAAAAATCCCCGGATATATGGTGTTCGAAGAACGAGCGGATTGAGTTTATGAGCTATGTACGTGGATTTTTCCTTTCTTTATAGATATTGATTTATCTCGTGATAGATGAATATACATAACTCAATCGAGAAATAGTAACGTTTAACAAGAAAATGAATAGATAAATTGCTTTTTTAATTTACAATCCGCTATTACCGAATAAAATTTGAATTTCGATTTTTAAAAAATATATTTTAATTATACACATTTATCATTGCAGAATTACATTCTTAGAAGCTTTTCTTTCTTATTTAAATATCGGAAAACTACAGAAAATAATTTGCCGCCCTCTCTTATTTAATAATACATAATTACGTTTTTTTTTCTTTTTAATTAATGATTGATCATTACACCTCCTCGCATGAAAACTTCCGGTATATCGTTCTTTTTTTTTTTACAATCGATACACTACAATATATCTTCACGATTCCATTGACCTTTCTTAACGCCCGATTCATTGGCCAAGAGAGTCGAGATGCCAAAATCAATCAATCACCGGCCATCATCGTCGACGTAACTCCCGAGCTCGGTTGAGGCTTAACCGTGAGTTAGTTAACCTCACGCGTACCGAGGCGGTTCCGGCCGCGTAGACGAGAAAGGAAAAAAATTCCTACCTGATTGATGTCGCTGCCCAAATCCCGTGCACTCTTGGCGCTCCTCAGCTGATATCCACGATACTCTCTGTACCTCATGGTCACTTCGTCATCGGTCAAGGCGCCGCTGCTGCCACTCCTCACGCTTTTCTTACTCTTCTCCTCTTTCGCTTTCTTCTCCTTCTTGCTGAACAACTGCTTGACTTTGCTCATGGTGCCGCTCTTTTTCGCCGCCTTCTTCTCATACTTTTTGTCGGCGGCACCGGAAGGTGGTTTCGCAGTGACCAATGGCGGCTTTGACGACGAATCACTCGCGTACTTATCGTACTTGCGTTGCTCGGACGTCGGCGTCAGGTTCATATTGCGATCGGTGTGTCGTCGCTCGTGTTTGATAAACTGCCGGTTGACGAAACCCTCGTCCTCGGACTCGAGCTGCTCCCGCCTATCCGCTTCCTGAGAGTCCCTTCTATAATCGTTTTCAATCCCGGAATCGGCTAGCCGATCCTTCCGATCCGGATCACTCAGTCTAGTTTCGCGATGGCGGCGCTCGGTGTGTCCTCGCACCTCCTGTCTCGTGTGCCTCGATTTGCCCTCATGATAAGTCCTAGGTGGTCTGGTCGGGATCGTCTCGGTAAACGTCTCCAAACGACTGACCGAGGACACCTTTCCTCGTGGACTGTCGGAATCGTCAAAGTAGTCCAGCCGATTGCGCGATCGCCTCAACGGTTTCTTCGGATCATCATCCAGTTTACGGTGCTCCTTCCTCGTAGTGCGCGCTTCGTCGTAGCGAGTGTCGCAACGTATCGAATCCCTAGCGGTAGTATCTGAATCATATCGGCTGGAATTGTAACCGCCGCGATCGGTGCGTATTCGTGGTGGCGAACTGTCGTAATCGTCATGAATCTGATGTTTGTTGCCGCTCGTGTACCTCTGCGTGGTGCGTGTTTCCTCATAGTACTTCGATTCCAGCTGGCTGCTGGTCATCTGCGAGATATCAGTGTCGTAGTCGTCATTTGGGCCTTCACGCAGGCTGTCTAGGTGACGCTTCGCGAACGGTGATCTCTCTCTGCGTCCATTTATCGTTGGGCTATCCAACAATGCGGTCGGACGTCTCATGTCTCGCGCATTAACGTAACCCGCTCGGCTGCTCAGATTCTCGTGCGATCTCGTGGTGTACTCACTTCTGAGCGCTCGCACCCTGGCGTTCTCTCCAACCTCATCCAACCGTTGCGTCGATTTGCTCATGCCACGGATCGATTCAAAGGGTTTCTTTGTTTTCGGCAGATACGCGTCTCGGTTAATTGGTCGATTCTCGCGATCCAGGAAATCGTCGCTCTTCGAGAACTTGCGCTCATTCAATTTTTTGGCGATAATCGGTGACGACAGCTCGTCGTTCTCCCGTGAGTCGCTGCGGAAGTGATTCGTTGTAGAGGTTCCTTCTGGCAAATAATGCGAAGATTTGTACGGGCTACCATTTCTGACGGTCTGAAATTTCTCCTCGGGGCTGCTTCGACTTCGATCGCTGAGAAACGGTTTAAAATTGTCAGTATAACCCTCATGCGTTCGCGTCTCTACGATGTATTTATCACCGTATTTGTCCGTCCTAGTTTCCACGGTATAACCATCCCTCGGTTTCGTGTCGAGGTAGCCGTTCGTCGGGATTTTGTTAGTGATCTTCTTCTCGTAGCCGTATACTTTGCCGTTGTCCTCGTGTATTTCTTTCTCGAAAATGTACTTCTCGCCGTTGCTATTGGTGCGCGTCTCCGTGATGTAGGTATCCATATATCGCTTCGGCGACGCGATCCGATTTGGCGTGACCGGCGATGGTACTATCGGCTTGTCGATTATCTCGTGTTCGCTTGATTTTTTCACTGGTACATTCGCGCTATTCTTAGCGGCGAACATCTCGTCAGCCAGTAATCTCGACTTGATCCTGGACTCCAGCAGATCTCGTCGTGCACTTAATTCGGTCGTTTTCGGCGAGATTCCACTTTCATTCTGTCTCGAGATTAATTCGCCGCTATCCCTTCGTCTGGCGTCCATACCGTCGGCCCTACCTCGACCAGAAGTGTCCACGAACACGGTCGAAGTGTATTTTTCAGGTTTGTCATAGAGACGCCCATCGAACTCGTGACGTCTCGTGACCTCGGTGGTCCTGGAGATGAAATCCTTTGAACCACCCAAGGGTTTGCCGAAGGGGCTGCTACTCTTACGGTCTTCCTCATATCTCGACTTAAAGGTGTTGATCTCATTGTTGCGACGCAGATCATTGCTGTACGAGTAATCAGTTCTGCGGTACTCCTTCTCCGCAGGACTGTTTTCGCGGGAGGAGTCCTTCCTCTCGAGACCGAGACCTTCGTCGCTGTCAGAGTGGCTTCGCTGAGCCTTCTTTTTATCCGGCTGTACTTGCGCATAAATGACGTTGGTCTGCGCAGGCGGCGGGCTACAGGAGTCGTTTGGTCTGGTATAGGAGAACGGTCGATTGTTATTGTGACCGAATCCCGGCGACGGCGATACCATCGTCCTGGTCAACTGCGGAGGTGGTGAACGATCATTGGACAGTCGGTGGATCATCTTGTGAATAGTGGACTCTCCGCTGCGTTTTTGAAGATCGTAGCGACTACTGTGTAGCATACTATAAGTGTCCGCTTTATCGACCTCGTCTCCCTCGCGTTTTAATTCCTTCGAAGGTGAAGGTGTACGGCTGGTTTTCGTGGGCTTTCGATCGGGTTCTCTCTTCTCTTCGTCGTCTCTACCCTCGACGAATATGTGATGTTCGATCACTCTAGCCTCTCGGCTGGGCGATCTATCAGCAGACTCGTCGGTGCGCGTCGTTCCCTCGGTCGTTTCTCTCGCCTCGACGTCTCGCGATATTACCTCGTCGACATCGATAACTGGGCTCGATCGCTCCTCTTGTTTTTTGGACTTCTTCGGCTCCGGTCGATTGTTGTTTTCGCGATCTGCACTTGCAGTGCCAAAGTGGAACGGCTGCTGATTGACGTGCGGCGACGACTCGATTATCGGCGATAGCTGCTTCTTCGCTCGTTGGCTGATGGTACTCAGGTGCGAGCTCTCGCTCTCACTGCCGCTTCGTTTGCGTTGCGCACCGTTACGCGTCCAGGAGCCTGCGTCGCTCACGCTTCGACCGACCGGCTTCCGGCGCCTCTCCAAACTCGGCGAGAAGAATCGTGCGAGCGAACTCTTTAGCTTCTTCGCGCTGGCATCACTGGCGCTCCTCTCCAGTGGTTTTTTCTTGGCCCGCGGCGTGTCGAAGTCCGCATTCGTGGTCGTAGTGCCGATCTCCTCGCTACCGCGGCGAGATCTTACATCGATTGGCAGATCGGGACGTTTCTTATTACGACGCGCCGGCAAGGTGCTGAAGCGACCGGGCAGGCGTCGATTGTCGTGTGCCACGCAGTGAAGACTGCCCGCTTGCTGCAGGACTAGGGCCGCTTCCTGTGCGAGATCCTCCTTACTCTTCGTGGCGATGTTCTCCTTATGGACCGGAGTGGCGATCAACCTACCTTCTCCATCGCCCACGAGAGCCGCGGTTACGCGCGGTGTACCACGTCCTGCAAATACGAGCGCGCCGGTATTTAGTTGCGCCTGATTTCATCATGCGCGATAATTATTTGAACGGTGTTGTATAAAAATATTTTACTAATCCTAACAAAATGCATTATATTTTTGCTGGGCAAGCAACAAAGAAAATTTATGCATTTTTAATTTAATTTTTAAACATATTATTTACAGTGAGTTTTATATACATGATATCTTTATGTAACACCGTTCATTATGAAGAGAAGAAATAATATATATTACGTAAAAAAGAAATGTTCGAGTAGTAAAAGATTTATTTGACAAATTGTTTCCAGCAAAGAGTAGACATATATTAATTTCTTTACATATTACATAAATAAAAATAAATCAATTTATTCCGAAATAATTGAATTTGATATTCATATTTCTAACATTTTCCGGATAGAAGATTAATATCTTTTTGAAATTTTTTTAGTATCTCTTAGATTTTATATAAACTAATGATAGCTATTAAGAGATAAATAAAATATTATAGTAAGATAATAAATGATAAAATAAATGATAAAATAAAACGACATGAATAGATGTAGTCAAAATTGGTTATTTCATAATTTGATAAAGTCATGGTGATAAATCTGTCCAATAGTAAATGTTTTTATATTTTTACCAGTCACTGGTTCTATTTGTATGAAAATAATCAGGTATAGGAATTGCTGAATTTTAATCATGAGGCATTCCGAAACGTCATCATTAGGCTTCAGGTTGACGTCTGATAAATTCGATCGGTTAATGAATTTATGTCGCGACCTTGCGTGTAAATTAGCGATTTATGTTAAGTGGACGAGCACGTAGTCGTTAGTGGTTAATCACCAAGTTTAATCAAGCGCCAGTACACACAGCACAGTAGACACTGGTTGGCTGGCTAGAAGCTGAAAGCTAGAATCCGACGCGCGTAAGAAATTGCCGTCTTTCTGTCTCATCTTCCAAGCACTACTTCTGCTAAATCCGGACCACCATTAATCCGCTGCGTCGTCTGATTCGCGATCGATATAATGCTTGTAATTAACGCTGTCATATTTATAAATGGGTCGCTTAATCAATAGCTCGTTAACGACCGTATCGACTTCTGCGAGATTGTTACGTGCTAATTCGTTTTTTCTTTTTAAATGACGGTCATGAATATAATATATGGAGAAAGGAACAACATTACACACATATATAATATAGTAATAACTGTATAAAATTGGATGCTATATCGAATTAAAAGAAAGTATATTGAGCGGGAATAATAATAAATATTCATAACTTAGCCAACCAAAAAACGAGCGTAATAAATCAACACAACGAAAAAAGAGTTAATATGTAATTAAAAATCCAATTTACATATTTTATAAAAATTTTAGTAAATAATTTATAGAATAAAAATGAGAAAAGTAAAAAAGTGTTGTTTGATGTATTATATAAGTATAGACATTTTCATTCACGTAATGTATCTTCAAACCTTTTGATATCAAGTCTCAATAGACCGAAATACATTGATGTAGCATTAATTGAAGAGTAAAATGTCTTCATCGAGTTAATTCAAGAGAGTAAAAAGTCTTCATCGAGTTACACTCTTCAAATCAAACTTGTTGGTTTAAGGATTGGATAACACTTTCTGGTGCTAATTAGGCATCTCCCACGAAATTTTCACTGCAGATAAAATCAACCTACACATGACTTGCGCGATCTATCATTTTTATTCACGAATGGTTTACCTTACATAAGGAGAAAGCAGCGACCGTGGACGTCTTCCCACAGGCGAATGGGCTCGGATCTCGTCTCGCCTTACGGTAGGCGCTAATCGACACTAGGCGGATGAAAATTAATTCATTAGCGACCTTATTACGCGTTGTCAAATGCATTAATTTCTCTGTTGCGAATATATCTAACAAATCATTACGTCGCTTATGTTCGTTATATGCGCTCATTTAATATATTAATAGAGTGAAAGAAAAAAGTTATTTGAGATGTGTACAGTCATAATAAGAGAATACCAATGTCAGCGTAAACATAACTTTAAATGAGCTTAATATTAAATAGTCTATTTCTTTAATGGCTAAAAAAATGACTCTGAAATGATTTCATCTTTTCTTATATTTTTATAATACCCAATTATGCGCCTGTACGATTGCGTATAAAGTTTCTAATTTATTCTTTTCTTATTAGAACAGAAATTAATTATGTATGTTGATTTTGCAAATAAATTTGAGTTTAGTGCATTACATGAATTAATTGCATTTAGGAGAATTGTTCCGCGTTCCCCAAGGAACAAATGCTCCGTGGATTGGAATCGTTGACGGATTTATGGCATCATTGTCGCGATTTTAGTATCCGAACAGATACCTGGCTAACGGGTGAAACCTCGACGCGAAGCATCTCGTCGAGGTCATCAACGAGAACCTCGAGAACGAGGTCGTCGCTCGGTGGCGATTAACGTCGCTCAGCGTCGCCTACCGAAGTCAAGTCTTCGTGCTACTTCTTCTGGAGCTCCGCGAAGAATACACGCTGCACTATTTCCAGAAAGTCGCGTTTCTCTCGCCTTTCCTTGTGGGAACTCGTCGTCGTTGCCGTCGTGTAAAACGCCGCCTCGAAAACGCTTTTACAACCTCGGTCGCTCGGTTTCCATAAACATGCAATTAGCAACTTCTCGCGCGCCTTTGTCTCCCGAAGGTTTGCTCGGTCTAACGGACCTCTTAAGCGTTTAGCTGAGTTATGCCGTATACTTTCGAGGAAACGACGTCTTCTCATTTCAAGACTTAGAACAGTTGGAACGCGCGATTTGCTCGCGATTTCTTCGCGGAGCCAGTCTGGTCGTCGATCGCACGTCTCTTCCGCGTCGCCGCGTCGTTGCGGATGCTGTAAATCGTAAACTAAAGATAGCAAACTTTGTATCGTTTACGCGATTCAATGGCGCAAACTACGCGCGACTATCATACGTGGGAATGTAATCTCTTGAGATATCGTTGCGTTTAATTGCGCGCAAGCACGAGTGGAGCGACGTCGCGCGGGATTACACTCGAGGGACTCAGGTGAAGGACGCGTTTCCAGCTCGCAGGTTTCGGTCGTGTAGAATCGTGCTCTCGCATATAAGCGGACGTCTCTTCCGTAGATTGCGAGATTAATAAGGCGGCACAGCTCACGCTAATACCGTGGAATGCGCGCCGCGAATCGGGAATGTAAGTTAAAGACGAGCGGAAGCGCGACGGTTCAGTGATTCTCCGATCTCGACAGAGGACCCGATTCGATCTTGCTTCCTTGAATACTAATTATTCCTAGGATGCGCGCTAGAGAGAAATACTTCGAGGATGCTTGCACGTGCATTTCTAACATGAGACGAAAGAGAAACGGAGAAGAAGAGTGAAAGAGGAAGATGCATTAACATGTGGCGCACGTATTCCCCAAGCGAGAATTGATGCGTTTAGTTAGCCGATCGTGAATGCGTACGATTGATTAAACGAACGACAGGCTGTGTTGCCGATAACTGTTCAGCAAGTGGTTTTTGAATTTTTTTTCTTCATAGAATTTATTGATCTTACTGTCTTTAATTCAACATGATTTTAACGTAATATACTCTGTCTATTTCCATTCGGAATAACTTGAAGAATTGCACCGCCAGAAACTATTAGAATTTACCTTTCTGTAGTTGAGAGATATTAATATCAAATAAATTGAGAAGATGAAGATAAATTAATGTTTAATTCTAAAACATTTAAAAGTATTTTCAAAAAATTTTAAATATAAAATCTTTTTTTTAGATTTGCGTTGCAAATAAGAAATCAAATTTGTTCACTATGTGTTTGAGTATACGTCTCTAGGTATATACAAATAGACTTAACACAAGTAAATAAAGAAGGCTATTTTTAATCTTGGCACTTAATTTCGTTTTGAATTTTACAATTTCTAGTTCAAGCCTCCTGCGCATTAATTACTTATTGGTTCTGAAACACAGTTCTAAACTGAAGCTGGATTACGTAATATTATAAATAAAACTGACAAGCAGTTTAACCCTTAAGGGATAAGGTGAATCTTCAAAATATTCAAAAATAGGATTGAAACAAACCCGACGCTGTTTTGATTATATTTTATCTAATCAATATAACAAAATGATAGACAGAGATCGCATCCCACCCTTTTTTACCATAGTAGGGTTAATATTACTGATGCTAATGAGCATCTTTAAACATTGTGAAGAAATAGCTTTTACAGACAAAAATTAATATGGTGAAAAATATATTCGATTTGTAAAAATAGTAAAAAAAATTCTGTCAATCATGATATTGATCTTCGTATTGCAAGTAATTTACAAATCTCTGTTGCAGGGAATCTAAATACTGACGTAGGATTCTATAGTATTCAAATGAATTCGATTATGATCTCGCAAATTTGTCATAATATCAGCTTATTATCCATAACCGTTTGTGCTTCCTTCTACGATCGTCTCGTAGGATGCTTATGTCCAGAATAGAAAACCTACGGCGAACAGAAACTACTCAAAGTAGTCAATGTTACCTATGCAGCACCATGAGTGACCGTTAACGAGATGTAATCATTGTACTCGGCAGACTGATTGATATTCCAGCGCGTCGTAAAGTCGATTTAATTATCACGATTTTAGCGTTGAGATCTCGCGTTACGGGCACGTTATACGTACGTTCGATGAATGTCTAATGGTTAGCGCAATTGGCGAACTTGTATGCGCGTCATCTCATGTGAGACGTATTATTACGTCGAGTTCACGATGTTATTTATCGCATGCGTATTTATGAACGTGAATACTCTAATCGTCAGATCACCAAATCGGAGGATTTCAACTTGCCGAATTCTCAGATCTACAAAATGTGAAGTGGCAGATGTATTATCTGATTCTCAATACACAGTAAAAAAACATTTTGTATTGGTATTAAACTCAGTCCTTATTAAAATATTTATTGAATTTTATTAAATTTTCAACATATCTTAAGTTAATTTAATGTAGTGTGATTTTATAATA